TGTGTGTATTTCAGAGAGGAAGGGAGAGGGAGAGATAGAAACATCAATGGTGAGAGAGAATCATTGATCAGCTGCCTCCTGCATGCCCACTACTGGGGATCGAGCCCGCAACCCAGGGGTGTGCCCTTGAATGGAATCGAACCTGGGACCCTTCACTTCGCAAGCTGACGCTCTATCCACTGAGCCAAACCAACTAGGACAATAGCAGTCTATTTTTGCATATTGTTAGTAATCCATGTGTTTGACTTAAACTAAATGTACCTGTGGATTAGGTCCTATAATTTAAATTTACATACCAAAATATTAAAACCATAGTGGTGAATTCTTCTATCCTATATACTGAAAGAGTTATAATGAAGTTGTTTTGAGGCATATTTTCAGTTTATATATATACCATACTTACTAAAACCAGTGATTGATATTAAAGGTGATTATAGCATCTTTATGCAGATTTTAAGTAGGTCAGATTTTTTTGTTTTGTTTCTTTTTATGTACTTGAGGTAGTTTTGTGTCTGAAAATAGAGATATTTAGTTGCTTCCCAAGACTCTTGAATCTTGATTTACTAGGTTTGTCTATTTTGTGAACGTGTGTGTGTGTTTTTAATTGATTTGAGAGAGAGAGGAAGGGACAGGGATAGAGAGATAGAAATATCAATGAGAGAGAAACATCTATAAGGCAGTCTCCTGCACAATCCCTACTAGGCATTGAGCCCAGAACCCAAGTATGTACCCTGACCAGGAATCAACCTGGTGATATCTTGGTTCATGGGTCAACGCTCAAGCACTGAGCGATACTGGCCACGCTGTATATTTCTATTTTGAAATGATTTTTTAGGAGGATGATGTTAACAGATATAGTGTTTCTTTTTTAACTAAGAAATATATATTGGAGATTGGTCACCATTAATATTTATAATATTAAAAAAGTTTAATCCTTTAACATTGAGTCCAAATGTGAAGAAAAAGCAGAATTGTTTTCTCTTCTAATGATAAGAAAACAAGTTTTGGAGGGATAAAAGAAATTTCAGAGGAACTGATGTGTCTTTTTTATGCCATATTTTTGAGTACTGAATGTGGTTTGTATCTTACAGAATGGAGATGTATGCATTTCAATTCTTCATCCACCCGTAGATGCCCCACAGAGTGGTGAACTGCCCTCCGAAAGGTGGAATCCTACTCAGAATGTCAGGTAAGGGGTTGATAAGAAATAATCTGGTTTTTAGGTGTTTCTTAAGATTGGATATTATTTTTTAAGTACAAAATAATCCTTTTATATTTGGTTATTTTGTCTCCTGCTAGAGCTTTAAGTAGCATGTATGCATCATTTTGAAGAGTTGTATTTATGGAACAATAATGCACATGTTACTCCTTTCTCTATGTTTGCCTTGGGGGAAATTTTCTAGTGTGAATTCTTCCTCTTACTTTATCATAAGTTCCATCTACGTCTTGGATCTCATGGTTTTCATGTTTGTATTGATTGTTTCTTTATTCTAGGATTCTTATTACTTTTTGCAGAAAGGTCTTATTGTTTCCAAACTGAAAATTTACTTAACATGCTACTTAAAAATTTTTTTAAAAAAAGATTTTATTGATTTTTGGAGAGAGGAAGAAAGAAGGAAAGGGAGGAAGGGGGGGGGGGGAGAGAGAGAGAGAGAGAGGGAGAGAGAGAGAGAGAGAGAAGAGAGAAATGAATGTGAGAACCAAACATCAATCAGCTGCTTTCTGCACACCCCCTACTTGGGATCAAGCCCCACAACCCAGGCATGTGCCCTGATGGGGAATCAAACCGGCAATCTTTTAGTGCACGAGACAACACCCAATCAACTGAGCCATACTGGCCAGGCTACATGCTACCTTTAAAAGAGCTTCCATTACCCATTGTTTTATATATAGGATGTTCAAAAAAACTGTGTACACACACTGAATAATTGTAAAGGCAGTGTTTGTTAAAACACATTTCAAAAGTGAGCTCTCAATTGTGCATTTTTGGGGGACACCTTGTATATGTGGATGTGTCTTAAGATTTGGAAGGCTTGTATATTTCTTGTGATTTCCTTTATTGATTAATCTATTGACCCATCTATCTAGATAGATAGATATTTAATCATCTGTTCTTTTTGTTTTGTTTTTTTATTGACTTTAGAGAGGATGAAAGGGAGGGGCGGGGGGAGAAGAGAGAGAGAAACTTCGATGTGAGAGAGCCACATCAGTTGGTTGCCACCCCAACTTGCCCCAATAAGGGCGAGGAACCTGCAACCCAGGTACGTGCCCTTGGCCGGAATCGAACCCCTGACCCTTTGGTTCAAGGGCCAACACTCTAACCACTTAGCAGCACGTGCCGCACTGTCAGTCTTTTTTTAAAAAAGTTTTATTCAGATATAATTTCCATACTATACAATTCTTTGATTTTAAGTGTATAGTTCATAGGTTTTTAATATATTCACAGCATTGTACAACCATTACCACAATCACTGTTAGAACATTTTCATCACCATTAAACTTATACCTGTCATTTATACTTTTTATTATCCCTCAACTCCATCCCACCCTTCCACCTAGGAAACACCAGTCTGCCTCCTGTCTCTATGAATTTGCCTATTTACATTTCATATGAATGGAATCTTACAATATGTAGTATTTTGTGTCTGGCTTCTTGAACTTAGCTGAACATTTCCAATGTTCATCTTCATTGTAGCATGTATTATATTTCATTCCTTTTTATGGCTACGTAATATTCCATTAAGTGCTTATACCACAATTTGTTTATCCATTAATTACTCGATGAACATTCGGATTATTTCTTTGGCTATTATGAATAAGCTGCTATGAACACTGTACATGTACATGCTTTTGTTTCCTTGGATATATACCTGGGAATGAAATTGCTGGGTCATATGGTAACTCAATATTTAACTTTTTGAGGAACTGCCAGCCTGTTTTTCAGTGTGGCTGCACTAAGTAATACATCCCCACCAAGGAGTATGAGAATACCAATTTCTCCAGGTCTTTATTAACACTTATTATCTGTGTTTTTAAAATTATAGTCATTCTAATGGGTGAATGTGGTTTCTCATTGTGGTTTTGTCCTTTTTGTTTTACATAACTTAAAATTTTAGAACAGTTTTAGATTTTCAGAAAAATTGTGAAGTATAATTTCCATATACCCTGCACCTTTCCCCCTTCCATTCTGTACTCCTTGGAAGGAAGTACAGCCCACACTTTAATATTAACATCTAACATTAGTATGATTCCAATTATTATAGTGAACTAATATTAATGCATTGTTTTAAGTAAAGTCCATACCCTTTCACATTTCCTTAGTTTTTACCTTATGTCATTTTTCTGCTCCAGAATCCCAGGCAAGATACCATATTATATTAATAAGCATGTCTCTTTAGGCAACTGTGGCAGTTTCTTAAGACTTTCCTCTTTTTTTTTTTTAATGACCTTGACAGTTTTGAGGAGGACTGATCAAGTATTTCATTCCCCAGTTGGTATTTTTCTGTTGCTTTTCTGGTTATTAGACTGGGTAGTGAATAGGGGGAAGAAAATCAGGAAGGTAAAGTACAGTTGCGAGTATCCGAGGGGGATCCTGGAACCATGCAGTTAAGCTTTGGGAGAATCAAAAGCTATATGCGGATTTTGACTGTACAGGGATTGTCACCTCTAACCTTTGCATTGTTCAAAGGTCAGCTGTACATTTTCTTTATGTCATATCAAGGGTGCATACTGTCAACATTTTTTATCACTGTTAATACTAACATTCATAACACTCATGACTGAGACTATTTTTAGGGTTTCTCCACTGTAACTCCTTTCCCCCTTCCATTCTGTACTCCTTGGAAGGAAGTACAGCCCACACTTCAAGGAGTGGGGAATTATATCTTCTAGATCTAGAGGCTGAGATACCTGCATACATTATTTCCAATTCTTCTTCAATAAGATTGATCTATGCTCCCCATTTATCTGTTGATTAAATCATGTTGTTACTCATTTTTATTTATCTGAAAGCTATTAACTTGATTAGGATCTCCACTTTTGTCAAAAGCAAAGAATTGAGAGCTTTCTGACTTGCACCAGGATTTCTTACCCAGCTCTTAGTGAGTTATTTCCCATTTTCTGGGACATGTATACCAAAAGGTTCATGTGTTCAAGACACATCAAATAACTATTGATTATGCTCATTACTCATTCATTTAGGTACCTTGTTCAATCCAATATACTTAGAAAGGGTTGAGAAAAGAAATATATGGCATGGGGCAAAAATAAGTTCATAGTTGTGACTGCACGAAACTGTTTATTCTTGCATTATTATTATTATTTTCCATATGAACAATTGTAAATCTACTTTTGCCACCTCCTATATTTTAATCTGATACCCTCCTTCCTACTGTGTGTTCTCAGTGATATGTCCATCAGCAGCAGCAGCGTTAGGGCTTACACAGCAAGAACTGTTATATTTGTTAGTTGCTTTACCAGCATTAAAAACTTTTTGTAGTATGTGGCCCATTAAGCTATCTCATTTTCTGTCATAACAGATTTCTTTGCCACAATGTCCTCTTTAAATTATTCTCCCATCTTCAAAACATGTAATGAGGACTGAGTTTGAAATAGTGTATATGAATCAAGTAAATTTAGGTTTTTAAGAATGAACCCTTTCTATCTCTCTCACATGCTGCTTGGAGGGGTATGTATATACATTGGGAGAAAAATGCCAATGTTCAATTCTGCAAAATTCTAAACTTTTCCTGCTAAGTTTCCAGGAAGACCCATAAGCCAGAATTATTTTGTTGTGTGTGCTAGGACCAGTTTTCTGCCCTCCCAGCCAGAGTACTTGTGGTGACATGGTAACAGAGAAAGGACAGACCCATCTCATTGACTACTCTCTCTTGAAAAGGGACAAATACATTATTACCCATTGGGTCATAGATGTCTAATTCTGATTTTCTGTCTCCCTTAAATGCTTCTATAGTTTTGTTTTTAAAACATTTTAGTGCTATAGAACTTTACAACTTGCTTTTTGCTGTTTGCGCGCGCGCGTGTGTGTGTGTGTGTGTGTGTGTGTGTGTGTGTGTGTGTGTGTGAGTGATTAGTTGGCCTTCATGTTCTCTGGGTGTTTTTGCTTACAAATTTATTTTTTATCCAAAAGAAGATAGCCAGTGATATTATCTCTAACAAAGATACTGAAGCAGGCAACAGGATCTGAAACATGAACCTGAAGACTGTCTAGAGTGCTTTTGCCTATCCTTTTGTCAGTACTTCTCTTCTTAGCATTTTTCTATTTTCCAAAAAATTTTACCGTCATCCCTTATTCTGGCTTAAGCAGGGGTGGAGGGAGCACATTTTTCCTAGGAATATCTGTGAATTGTGGTGGTGGTTATGGGAATTGTGCAGTAAGTGGAAAACACTTTAAAACTCTGTATCCAAAATTCTTACTGGTTTAGGTCTGTTCTGTGTTGTAACACATGTTAAAACACACCACTGGATTTGGGCAACCAGACCTGTTCCTCTATACCCAGTTAGTGAATGGCAGTGGTGTTTTTCTTTATGGGAACTGAGAGTCTGGGGATAGGCCCTCATAGTCTATTCTGCTAATCCAAGAAATTTATGTCCAGGTGCCACAAGATTGTCTAAATGGACAAATGCAACTCTGTGTTACTCAAAACCAGAGCTTCACGTGGAACCATGAATTTATATGGACATAATGAGACTAAAAAGGAGTGTATGCTGTTTTCCTGATTCCTTCCCCATTGTTCATGATCTGCAGGAAACCAATCCCTCTAATGGGCTTTGAGTAACCTTTTCATTGGGGGATAGTTTAATTATTTGTTCTTTCTTTCCCTTTTCACCTGTTGTTAACCCTCTCCACCTTCTGCCTTTTTTCTTCTGAAAAGAGAAATGAATAAAGATTTTAAAATATTAACTGAAAATAACAATAAAAAATGACAACAAAGAACATAGTTCGTACATTCTGCCAGTATGGTCTTAGCACTTTAGTTTTCCCATTCTATAAAAACAGGATTAATAGTACTTACCTTGCAGAGTTTACCATGCTAGAGGTATAGTGTAATGCCCTGTGTTGAATTATTTTGGTATAAGTGATGGACATTTTAAACTATGTATGACATTTTCTCCAAGCCTTTTCCAGTCGTGGTAAAAAGGAAGTGATAGGTCTGACCCACCCAACTGATGAGGGAATCAATATAGGTATAATTAACTTGCAACCCATCCACAACATACTGGTTTAGAAACTTTGAATGTTTTTCATCAGTAATCTTTAAGAGAAAAAAAATCTCAATTCTGCTTTGTTCTATATTGGCCTTTATATTAGGCTGGCTCTCACCACTTGGTAACAAAGATGGCCACCTGCTCTATACTTTCCATATTCTGTTACTAAACCAACAAGAATAAAAATTCTTTATTAGGTTAGAAAAATGAGTTCCCACCAGGGTTCTGATTGTCCCAGCTTAGATCGCATGCATATCCCCAAACCCATCCTCATGACAAAATGATGGAATCCTTTGGCCAGCACTTGGTGTTATGTCTACTGCTGTGGGTATAAGTAGGTTGTTTGTATGAACGTGTAGCATGATGGTGGATTCTCTATACAAAACAAAACAAAACAAAACAAAACAAAACAAAACAAAAAGATTGTGCTTTCCAGATGAAGGGAGGAAAGCATGCTGGGTAAACATTTCATTGATGTGAAATGTTACAAAAAGATTGTGCTTTCCAGATGAAGGGAGGAAAGCGTGCTGGGTAAACTATTATCACAATCCACTGTGGTACCTAATGCTTCTGAAAGCATCATGGATTTCAGTTTAGGAGTACATGGTAGTAGAAGTGGGCTTGTTTTGGTACAAATGGATGATTCACCATTTTAAAAAATTATGTTACCCAGTATAGTATTTTTTTAAAATATATTTTATTGATTTTTTCAGAGAGGAGGGGAGAGAAATAGAGAGTTAGAAACATTGATGAGAGAGAAACATCGATCAGCTGTCTCTTGCACACTCCCTACTGGGGATGTGCCCACAACCAAGGTACATGCCCTTGACCAGAATTGAACCTGGGACCCTTCAGTCCGCAGGCCAAAGCTTTATCCACCGAGCCAAACCGGTTAGGGCCCAGTATAGTATTTTAATAATATACACAAGATGTTATAAAAACCAACTTGGTGAAACTAACTTGTGGGGAAAAATTTCCTAATTAATATGATTCATCTAGACATACAGCTGTTTAAACTTCTTTAGTATTAAAAATTCAGTTCCTCAATTGCACAAGATATCTTTCAAAATGCTCAGTGGCCACATGTGGCTAGTGGTTATCATATTGCATAACAGATTATACATTTCCACCATCATTGAAAGTTGTAAGTATACAGTGCTGATCTAGACCATTAAAACCTTTTTTCCCTGTTTATTACCATACTTTGTCCTTATCCTGCTTATACTAGTATAACACTAGAGGTCCGGTGCACGAATTCATGCACCAGTGGGGTCCCTTGGCCTGGCCTGCAGGATGGGGCCAAAACCGGCTCTCCAACATCCCCCAAGGGGTCCTGGATTGTGAGAGGGCACAGGCCAGGCCGAGGGACCCCACTGGTGCACCATCAGGGCTGGGGAGGAATGCAGGAGGTTGGCCAGCTGGGGAGGGACCACAGAGGGCTCCAGGGCATATCCGGCCCATCTCACTTAGTCCCAATCAGCTGGACCACAGCAGCAAGCTAACCTACTAGTTGGAGCATCTGTCCCCAGTGGTCAGTGCATGTCATAGTGAATGGTTGAGCGGCCTTAGCATATCATTAGCATATTATGCTTTGATTGGTTGAACGGACGACTGGACACTTAGCATATTAGGCTTTTATTATATAGGACTAGAGGCCCGATGCACGAAGATTCGTGCAAGAATGGGCCTTCCCCTGGCTGCGAGCACTGCCTTTGCTCCGGCCCGGAGCCACCTTCCTGCCTTCCTGCACTGCCCAGAGGCCCAGAGCAGCTGGGGCAGTGCAGAACGCCCCCGGCTGCTCGGTGCCTGCATATGCAAATTAACCCAACATCTTTGTTAGATTAATTTGCATAATCACTCTTGATTGGCTGGTGGGCATCGTGAAGGTATGGTCAATTTGCATCTTTCTCTTTTATTAGTGTAGATGTTTTGAGTGTTTTCTTCTGAAGCAACCCTTATGTAATTTTCTACCTACACTTTTGCTTTTAGGATGTTATGTGAATCCATTTTCCATTATTGGCAGTGATGAGTTTCTTTGAATCTTTTAAATGTAATTACTGGAGAAAACCATAAGGATCTTGGCAGGAAGGGCAAGGAGTTATTTCTAACCTAATAGAAAGGTGTGTGTGTGAGAGATAAATGGATTTTAACTAGATGGGAACTTTTTCTTTGAAAGTGCCTTTGTCATAATTTTGTATAATCACGTAACAGAAACTCTTTGCCCTTTTTAGGAAAAGGTTTCATCAAATCAAACATCTAATTGCCTGGTCCCCTCTCTTTATTTTTTGCTTGGGGCCAGGAGCAAAAGGCTATTTTGCAACAACACAATGTATAACCTCGCACCAATGAGAAAAGGTAGAGAAATTTAATTTTTTTCTCCCATTTTTCTCCTTTCGTACATGCACGTAGCTTGTAGGGGGAAAAAGCCTGGGAATAGTCTGGAATATTTTTGGAGCCTACTGTGCTCTTTTGGTTATTTTATCTAACTGAAACTGTATTCCCCATGACTGATTAAGGTGTCTAGTTTTTATCTGTGGATAAAAATTGCCTGTTTATATCTCCCACAAGCTATATAAGCCCTGGGAATTCAGGGATGACATCTAACTTGCTCACTATCATACAGCCAACATCTGGTGCTTCTGGCACATAGTAGGTGCTTAGTAAAACTTTTTGAATAAAGATTTCTGTTAAGAGACTAGTTCTTTTTCCTGCATTGTCCTGCTTATCTGTCTTTCTTCCCTTAAAAATATGGAAAAGAAATACATTTCTGTGTAATACTGGTTTTTTGGTTTTTTTTAGATCTTATAAACAGCCATGATTAGATTGGATGTATGAAGTAGCATCATTTTTTTTCCTCCCATGAAAAAATTGTCTTGAAGCTAAATGTTTTTTGCCTTTCTTTTTCTTATTGCACTTAACTTATAATTTCTGAAGCAAACTTGTGGGGAAAGTTTCTAAAATCTAAAATGTTATTTGAAAAGCTTCCAGACCTGTACTTTTTGCAGATTGGAGTATGTAGCCAGTTGAGACAGTCTTCTACAGTTTTATGCCCTGCAACAGGATCTCATGCTAGGCTCACATATTTCCTCTGCTTTTATCTCCTAGTTAGCCTAACCAGCTGAGTACTGAAAACAAAATTTTATGATACTCTATTTCCATTTCCCTAAGGCCTCAAATATTGTAGTCTTCAATTTTAAAGAATACTTTTGAATCCTATGAATATGAGTATTTGTAGCTGATTTTTTTTTTTTTCCTGTTTCTAGGACTATCCTGTTAAGTGTAATCTCATTGCTTAATGAGCCCAACACCTTCTCCCCAGCCAATGTGGATGCTTCAGTTATGTTCAGGAAATGGAGGGACAGTAAAGGAAAAGACAAAGAATATGCTGAAATCATTAGGTAAGGTGCTTTGTTTTTGATCATTTCAAGTCTTTACTTAGAACCAAAGTAATATCCTAGAACCAGAGGTTTAAATTGAATTTCATTGTCTACTCCATTTCTCTCAGTTAGATTGTTTGGGAAGAGATTTGTGCTTGAGACTAATGAGTTTGGCTTTTTGGAGAACACATACAACAAGATAATGTTGTAGCAGATGTGATTTCCTGGGAACCAGAGCTTCTAGGTTCTGAGCCAGTCAAGTTTGCAAACTTTCCCTTGTAATCATTTTAGGGATGATTGCATTATTTTGGACTTTTAAGTGTAGCAAGCACCCAGTGTATTCCAATCATTACAGGTTATTTTGTTTTCAAATTTTTTATTAATGAAGCCCTATTGTTCTTCTGGGCATGATCATTATCAGCAACATTAGTATATGGTCTAACAGAACCTTAGAATAAGAATCAGGAGGCTTGGGATCTACTCCTAGCACCTCTCGTGACCTTTTATCAGTTAACTTTTTGCTGTTTAGTTTTTCTATGTAAAAGGGAAAAAAAGTAGAAGGTATTAAGTTCTTGATCATTTCCTGAGTAGGACATAAGGTTTTCATAACTACCCAAGATTGGTACTTGAATTGAAATAAATCTAATTCCCCTGAATACAACTGCATTTTTATATTTAGTAAGTTTATACAAACTCTAGTAAGAACTAGAATTTAGAGAGTCCCTCTCTATAAATCTAGTCAACCTAATACATACGAGTTAGATCATAAAACAAATACTAGATAGTGGTAAGTAGGATAATGTGAAGGAGTGATGAGATGGTTGCTTTAAATTGGGTTGTCAGAACAAGCCTCCTGTAAGGTGATATTTAAGTTCATATCTGAGTGACAAGAAGTATACCATGTGATATTAAAAACAAACACGCAGAAAAGGGCATGTCATTTGATAGCTGAATAATATAGATTAGTGGTTGTTTTCTGCCACTGGAAACACTAAAGAACCCCTCCACACCCCAATCCATAATCATTTAATGAGATTACAGGGATGGATAGAATGTAGACACCTGTGTTTTGTTTTTATCAGCCACCTAGGTGACTGGTATACACCAGAGATTGAAGATAATTAGTATAAATAGTAAGGGCCTATAGAAACTTAGAGGAGCAGGAGTGGATTGAGGATTTAAAGATGGGAATGCTTCATTAAAAACAGGGTTGAAGCCTGATGTTCAAGGAAAGGACGGATTTAGTAAGTGAAGAATCCAGAGGTATTTGTATTCTTCCTGATTCTTACTTTGAGTTTCTTTATGTCATTCTTATATTCTTTCAACATATTTTATGCACCTGCATTGTGTCAGTTACACTGCTAGGTCATTAAGCTGTAGTCTTTCTCCCTGGGGAGCTCACTTTACTTAGCAAACAAATGAGTGCAACTGTAGAAGCTTAAACAAGATACACTGGAAGGAATATATAATACTATGGAGTCCCTAGAAGATAATGCCTCATAAATAAGAATTTTCCAGTAAAAGGGCAAAGAAAAAGCCTCTTCAGGGAGAGAAACATGTTTGCTAAAACAGAGGTGTGTAACAGCATGGCATGTCAAGAGAATTGTAAGTAGCTTTACATTGCTTGAATATAAATTCTGATTTGGGAAATTAAGAGGCATCAATCAGGTCTTAAAAGACATTGATGTGCCCTAGCCTATTTGGCTCAGTGGATTGAGCATCAGCCTACAGACTGAAGGGTCCCGGGTTCAATTCCAGTCGGGGGCACATGCCCAGGTTGTGAGCTCAATCCCCAGTGGGGGGTGTGCTCGAGGCAGCCAATCAATGTTTCTCTCTCATTGATGGCACATGCCCAGGTTGTGAGCTCAATCCCCAGTGGGGGGTGTGCTTGAGGCAGCCAATCAATGATTCTCTCTCATTGATGTTTCTCTCTCTCTCCCCCTCTCCCTTCCTCTCTGAAATCAATAAAAATATATTTTAAAATAAAAAGACATAGACATGAGACAACTAGGAGAAAAAATACCTGAGAAAATTGCTGGATGACCAATATTTAAGATTTGCTTTTCTAAAGGTCATTGTGTCCTTCAAAATGGCACCTGAGAGGGTGACCGCTTTTGGGGTGATAGAGGCTTTCAGATGCAGGCACTAAAAGTTTAGAAACCTGAGTTATAAGGAATCTTATTTAGAAACACCAATTATAAATCCATCTTCAAGACAGAGACTTATATAACTACCCTCTCCCCTTCAGAAAACAGGTTTCAGCCACGAAAGCCGAAGCAGAAAAGGATGGAGTGAAAGTCCCCACGACCCTGGAGGAATATTGCATCAAAACTAAAGTGCCTTCCAATGACAACAGCTCAGATTTGCTTTATGACGACTTGTACGACGATGACATTGATGATGAAGATGAGGAGGAGGAAGATGCCGACTGTTATGATGATGATGATTCTGGGAATGAGGAGTCGTGACCTGCTCCTTCGAAGCCCCTGTACTGCCCTGCCATCTCAGGCCAAAGGGAGGGGAGCAAGTGGGGACCTAGCAGTGGCCCCTCAGCAAAAACCTATCACAGGGGGTGGGGAAAACAAACATGGCTCCTGCTGACTCCCCTTGTGGATCTCAGTTTGCTCCTTTTTATGGACCTCTTAATGGAGAGAAGGTAATCCTCCACAGAATGTCCGAATTCTTGCATTCTTTACCCTTCCATCACTGTATTGATTTTTTTTCCCCCCCTTTAAACCCAAACCCTTGCCTCACTTCGTCTCTACAAAGTGTTCACAGCAAAACACGTTTGGTCTGTTTTTAGATTCTTGAAGAATTAAATAGTCTTTCATCAAGATGTTTAATGTGTTTAAAGCTGGGAACCCATTGGGAGTTCACAAGTGCTACATATACTGGGTTGCAAAAGAAAATGGAAACAACCCCCACAAAAATCCCATAAGACAAACTTTTAAAAATTGTTGCCAAGGTTTAGCTGCTCCATTTACATTAGTGTGTGTGCATTTGTTCAGCCCCATGTTGGTGAATTTTGTTTCTTTCCAGTTCTTAAGTCTGGGTACAGTGGGCATCAGGGACTCTGTGCTAAGACTGATGAAATGTGTTCCTAGGGCAGAGAGCCCCTTCAGCCTCCAGGAAATCATCCTAACACAGAGGTCTCAGCTGTTCTGAGGATAGCTGCTCCATTTACATTAGTGTGTGTGCATTTGTTCAGCCCCATGTTGGTGAATTTTGTTTCTTTCCAGTTCTTAAGTCTGGGTACAGTGGGCATCAGGGACTCTGTGCTAAGACTGATGAAATGTGTTCCTAGGGCAGAGAGCCCCTTCAGCCTCCAGGAAATCATCCTAACACAGAGGTCTCAGCTGTTCTAAGAAATCAGATTTTGGTTTTTGAAATTGATTGGGATCTAAAGCCTGAAATAAATATTCATACTTTACATAGAACTGAGCACTTGATTGCTATTTATTTTAAAGGCAGAGTTGTTCTTCCCCCACCAGGGAGTTGGGGGAGAGAGTGGGGATTAGTGTGTGTGTGGAGTCTTGGTGATGGCAACAAAGGGTTAAAAATCACTATGCCAATTTTGGTTGATGCTGCTGGGGGGAGGGGGGGGTGTGTCAAAACTACTGGTGACCACTGTTGGGAGAGAGAACATCTGTTTTATTTATTTGACAAGGCCTTTCTGTCAAAGATAGACTCTCACCATGAGGATATATTTTTAAGTAGCCAGTTTTAATTACTCAGTATTAATACTAAGTGCATGTGTTACAATTTTGGTTTTCATTGAGCTAGTGATAACTGTGGATAAATGTGAGACAAGAGTGACCAGTTACCTTTCCTCATTGGCTGTAACCTGGACTTTGCTCTTCTTTCAATGTACTGTCTGGCTGTGGAGTGCAAGAAGTTGTGCATGGAGCTTGCCTTGGGTTTCTTTAGACTCTTCCGCCCAGGGAGTTGGCTGCAGGCAGTGTGTGGGTGACGCTAGATCTTCCTTCTGTGCAATTGCTGCAGCTTTGATTTCCCTGGTCTCAATTATGTGTTACTTCAATCAATTCTGAGATCCATCAGCCTTCACCAACCAGGGACTTCAGAACTTGGCGGTGATTTTTGTTTCTTATGGGAGTGGGTCAGTTCACACGAGGCAGTGTTCTTTCAGTGGGGAAAATTGTTAATGTAAAATCCCAGGTTTTGGAAGGAAAATACAGCAAAGACTGACTATAATCCTACTTCAGATCCCTGTACACTAGTGTCAACTCCTTTTCTTCAGAACTTAGCTCAGAAAGAACAAAAGGGTTGATGAGGGACGAGGTAGGATAGATCGATCCTAGAACAGAATAGGTGATGCTTACTTCCTTAGCTCCTCCTTCCTTTCTGATCTCAGGGTTTTCATTCGCTCTTCAAACTCTCCAAAACGTGCTAATTCCCAGCAACCCTCTCTGGCCTCTGAAGTTTGGTCTAGTATTAAGTGAAAACATTTAACGTGTTAAGGTTCAATTGGGACAATATTGAGCCTGCTCCCAGAATCTGTCCAATTTCCATGGGGCCAGGACTACTTGCACCTTGAATCTAGTGACTCAGATTCAGTAAACAGCAGCTCTTTGAGATAAAACACGGACTGCAAACTCCTAAGAAAGATGTTGAAACTGTTTTTGCTCCTCACACTTAAGTCATGCTTCCAAATAACCTGCAAATCTAATGGAGCCCAGTCTCTCATAATGCTGATTACCCACTACCCTCTCACCAAACCCTCCCCCACGTTTACAGCTGGTAGCTTGGTCTTACTCTATTAGAGCCCTATAATTAAGCTTTCCCCCCTCTTACTGCTAAAGCATTTCTTTCCCAGGGCAGACCAGGCGTGTTGGCAATGTGGGAGGTGCTATGCTGTTCAGCCTGGTCCCATTAGGCCCTGTTGGCCTGTTGCACGTTGACTCAGGGAGCCAGAGAACCAGGTGGAGGTAGTACCTCTCAGCCCTTTGGGGTGTTAATATTGAGGGCTGGGTTTGCCTCTGATAGAGTACAATCAGAAGACTGGAGAGTGGTGATTTGCTAGCAGGTAGACATTCTGATAGCTCACAGTGACTTGTAAAACCCAGATGCTGGTTCCAGAGCTCTGTCTTGAGAACACATCCTGTGGCAAAAGAAAACTTGAGCTTACTGTAACTTTTCTTTTTAGGAGTGGAGATCTCAGGCTAGACCCTTGTGAGTACACTTGTGCTGATTTGGTATAATGAGCTCAAAATCCTGCATTTTTAGATTCCTTTGATTCTAGTGGAGGCCTCTCTGGGTGCTCTTCAAGTCTGTGTTTTTTGAGGCTGGGTGGAGAAAGTGTATCATCATGATTCTGTTGTTGCTTCTCAAAGTCTTCCCCTCTATTTCATATCATTCCAGAGTTCTTTTCTATTAGCCAGACTTTTTCTTTTCTGTAGTCTCTTCTTTCCTCTTCCCTGGTAATTATTTGCTTCTTTATTTGCTGGTTTCCTTATTTTTTGGGACATATACGGTAAGAGATTGAAGGGAGAAATGTGTAGTCCTCCACTGAAAATTAACTCTCCCCCCTCCCATGCTGATAAAAGGTTTACATTTACAAATTCAGATGCAATTTTCAACTATTCTAAAACCAGCAGGTCACACCTGACTTTAATAGTTTTCTTAGCTGAAATTGTAGATGTTTTTCTTCAGTTTAACTTATGAGAAAAGATTATCTGATGCATTTTGTGTTGAACTTCCCTTTAGTGGTTTATTTTGTCTTTTTCTGCCCATCTGTCTACTAATAAAATGTGAAATAAAATATACCTGTATTGCTACTTCCCCATGGGATGACCCTCTTCTTTCTTTTCTTGTGTTAAAATTAAAAGGTGGTCTTAGTATCTCCACTGTTCCCTTGCAGATTATGCCTCGGATTCAGCTGAAAAACTAAAATAAAAACCAACTCTTGCTGACCTGTCTTTTATAACATTCTGCTCGGCTCACCTTGCAGACTAAATATCCCCAGTCCTTACCTAGCTTAAAAAAGGCTATTAAAGACAGCCATTTGTTAACCTTAATTCTGAAATAGGGCACGATCTGCCAGTACAAGTAGGTCAGTGGAAGGGATGGAGAGGTGCTCCACTGCCCTCCTTAGGAGAGGGCATTTGTTTTCATTGTCAATTATCCTCTGAACTTCCTGCTGCTAAAAGCAAGGAGCAGGCAGGAGATACCAGAGTTTAATGAAAATTCCCATTTAGTTTCAGTTGTGGACCCTTACCTTTTTCTTTCTTTTTGTTGTTGTTAATCCTCACCTGAGGATATTTTCTCCATTGATTTTTAGAGAGAGTGGAGGGAGGGAGGGAGGACAGAGAGAGAAACATCAACGTGAGAGACACATTGATTAGTTGCCTCTCCAACACGCGCCCTGACAAGGGTTGGAGACTAAACCTGCAGTCCATGTACATGCCCTTGACTAGTAATTAAACCTGCAACCCTTCAGTGAGCAGGCCGACACTCTAACCACTGGACATGCTGGCCAGGGCCACTTACCTTTTTTTTAAAGCCAGGATCCCAAGCTGTGGATTAACAGCAGAACCTCTCTGATATGATGAAATGATTTTAGAGCCGAAAGTAGAAAAGGTAAAGACTGGAATCCAGGCACACCACCTTGACTTGAAGCAACACTTATTTTGCCCAGGACCTACTTAACCTATTTTTTTTTCTTTCTTTTTTGTTAATCCTCACCCAAGGATATTTTTCCATTGATTTTTAGGGAGAGTGGAAAGGAGAGGGAGAGACAGA